CATCACCTGGTCAACCTTTGCACTTTGCTGCATGGTAGAATTCGCCATGCATAATTTTCAGAGATTGTTATGATAGTTATTCCAGATCCAGAGAAGACAGAGGAAGAAAGGAGGAGAGAGAGGCTTACTTATGGCTTTCACAAATTCAGGTTAAGAAGAGACCTGATGGTCATTCATACAGACATCACTGATTTAATAGCAGTCTTTGTTCCATCAGGAGCTTTCTTTGGAATTGGTGCAGATTATTCTTGTCAGCCAACTACAAAAATGTAAACTTCCGTCTGTCCCACTTTCTTAATTGCCGTTGCCAATTATTTTTGCCTACATCCACCTAAACAAAGGAAACCACCAAAGACCCCTTTAAGCAATCCTCTTCAGGCCCATCATCATTCAGTCGATGTGCATCCTTAACAAATAACAAAAACATGAATAAAAAAGACTATCTGTGAACATAGAGGTTAGTTGCGCTGGCTGGATGACACTTTTTGAACTGTCCCAGTTTCATCTGCACAATAAAAAGAAATGAAAGACTGATTGCATCACTATTGCCACGACCTTGGGTTTTTTTGGGCAGGATGCCTCTGAAAGCTCAGATCATCACTTCAAGCACAAAAAAGCAGAATCAATGTTTGTGACACACACACACACACACACACATTTAAATAAAATTAATTTCAATTAGTAATAGCACTTAGACTTATGTACCGCTTCACAGTGCTTTACAGCCCTCTCTAAGCGGTTTACAGAGTCAGCATTTTGCCCCCAACAATTTGGGTCTTCATTCTACGGACCTCGGAAGGATGGAAGGCTGAGTCAACCCTGAACTGGTCAGAATCGAACTGATGGCAGCCAGCAGAATTAGCTTGCAATACTGTATTCTAAACACTGTGCCACCATGGCTCCTGAATCAAACTATTCAAGTAACAGTATTTATTGCACATTAACACTTGTTTCCCAGCTGTGGAAAAAACATGGGGAAGAATGGGATTTCCGTCTTTGTATCATGCCCATAGATAAGTGATGGTGTCTTTTGATTGCTGAGAGGTCATCATGATCCCAGATTAAATCTGCATACCATCTAGAAGTTCTCAGTGATTTTCTGACTATCTGCTCCCCAAATAATATATAATATTTAAATGATAATAATATTTTAATGTTTATTTAATTAACATGTTAAAATATTAATACTTAATTTTAATATTTAATTTAAAATTAGCTAACATTCATTTAAATTTAATATTCAATAGCATTTTTTTTTAAAAAAAAAAAAGCTCTACCATAATAAAGGCGGGGGATCTTTATCCTACTCCACATTCAAGGGAGGGACTAGCACAAAGATGCCACTGTTGGAGTTTTCCAGAAAGACATGAGACCAATGTCTGTGGCACAATCAGCAACCTGTAATTTACAGCTACATCTTTCTCGGCACCTGATGAACTGGAGAAGCAGGTGCAACCCAAAAGGAGAGCAGGGTGCTGAATTTGTCTCAATAATGACAGCCCAAGAATAATTGGTTCCTCTACATAGTCCCAAAATGAGGAGACCGTCCCAGTTTTAGACATGGCAAGGCAACTCAACACATGGTTGGTTAAGGCAAGTGTTACCTGATTTACTACGGGCTGGTGGTGACGTAGTGGTGAGAATGCAGTATTGCAAGCAGTCAGTTTGATCCTGACCAACTCAAGGTTGACTCAGCCTTCCATCCTTTCGAGTAAAATGAGGATCTAGATTGTTGAGGGCAACATGCTGACTGTAAACCGCTTAGAGAGGGCTGTAAAGCACTAAAGGTAAAGGTAAACTTTCCCCTCGCACATATGTGCTAGCGCCCACAACTTCTGACTGCAAGTTGTTCCTCTGATTAACTGTTCTTACTGTCAGGAAATTTCTCCTTAGTTCTAAGTTGTTTCTCTCCTTGATTAGTTTCTACCTATTGCTTCTTGTCCTGTCGTCAGGTGCTTTGGAGTGATGAACACTGGTGCCCCAAATCCTAACCCCTCATGCTAATAATGGGATCAGATCTAACAGTAACTGATAAAGAATCCTGGAGAAATGGTAAATAGTTAAATTGTGCATCTGCTGTAAATAGAGGCCCATGACATGTTAAGAATTAGTAAGAAATAGTATCGGAAACAGTCGTGCCAATATTATAATGCCCTTACATAAATCAACAGTAAAATTACATATGAAATAACATTTGTAGTACTGGTCACCATACATCAGAAGGAATGTAGGAGAACTAGAGACAGCTAAGATGGTTAAGGAAATGGAGCAAGCCCTGGTCTTTCATGCCTGATGTCTTATGAACAATTTCTAATGCCTCATTGACGGTGCTGGCAATGTTGCAGTCAGGTGGTGGTTCCTGCCAGCTCCTATTAGCTACTGAAAGTTCCAATATTTATTCCCCCTCTCTTCCTGGCCATTGGACCTTGCCCTTGAGGGCCATTTTGGGTTGGGTTGCAAGAGAAACCAGATTCTTGACATGCCCCGAGGCATCTGTTTATGTAATGCACAGCTGGCTATTGAAAAAAAAAATGCTGATTAGGCTTTACATAGTGTCATCTGCACGGGTGCACAAGCTTTTGGAAGACTAGCAAACCTGTTTTTGAATATATATACAGCAACCTTTCAACAACATGCTAGACCTGTCTGTATGCTGGAACTATTTACTGATTTAAACAGGGGGAGAGATGTATGGCTGGTTATGTTCCCAATTACTGTATTTCGGGGGTGGGGGTGGTGTTTGATGGTCCTAACAAGAATGGGTTTCATAGAGCTGTACATCTACAGGTTTTATTATTTATTCAGGGAATGGGGCCCATTTGGGCAACTCTGATGTTATTTTGTATACTTCTGTGCTGCTACACAGAGCCACACAGCATGGGATGCAAGTTAAGTTTGGGGGGTCTAAAAGAAGGGGGGGAAAGTTGAATGTGATGAATATGTGATGGAGCAGAAAAAAGCTTGCAGGTGTATTAACAAAGTTCTGTCTACATCATCCATCTGTACCTGACCAACCAATAAGTAAGATGCTGGTACTAATTTATCAGCCAAGTTGGAGAGAGGGGAGAGGGAGGGAGGGGGGAGAGACAGAGAGGGAGAGAGAGAGAGAGAATGATAGAAATAGATATGAGAGAGATGAGAGACATAGAGAGGGAGAAAGAGAACAGAGAGAGAGAGAGAGAGAGAGAGAGAGAGAATAAATAGAGAGAAATAGAGACAATAGAGATAGAGATTATAGAGATAGGGACAGAGATGATAGACTTTCTTTGGAGAAATGAAAGACTGAAACTTTGAAGATTAGAACATTTTGTGATAACCTCCTTTATAATTTACTGTGGCAAAGAATATTTTTATATGTCCCATCAGACGTGCCTTGGTCTGCAGCTGAAGTGGCAAAACCCAACATAGATTTAGTTGCCCAGAAAGAAATCAACAGCTGTGGCCTGGGCAGCTATGTTGCGGATAATATTATTTGATTAATATTATATCTACTACATTATTACTAACTATCCTAACCCTCTTTTGCATCTGGCTTTGCTTCTCGGTCTCTTGGCTTATGCTGCTTGTGACAAGGGACCACTTAATTACTAAGAGAAGTTGCAATTTGGCATATTTTTTGTAGCACTGTATAACCATGACCAATAGCAGTCAGTGCATTGAAAAAACTCATCACCCAACTACTATTGAGAAAAAAATGCCTATCTATAATAGGAGATTGTCGGTGGGTAATAAAGACAGAGTCAGCACTATGCCAGACTAATTGATTAATTAGTCCTCTGGATTTGAGGTGCTAATTTTGGGGACAACTATGCTTGCTTTGTGCAGCTTATTCCACTGGTGCTGCCATCTGCTGGTAGCTTTTAGTAAAGACCAAAATTCCACTTGCCAGCAGCCTGGTCCATTAAATGTACTAGTTTATTGTAAAAAGATGTATTAATAAATGGAAAATTATTTTCATTGGATTCCCCCCCACCCCCATTGGTAGAAAAGTAGGTGGAGAGAGTTTTGCCCTACCTTTTTATCCATATATTTTAAAAGCATCGCACTGGGCTGAGAAGCATCTATCAACAGCAGTGTTCTGGCACCCTTGGAAGACATGTTAACATCACTAGGAAGATGGTATGTGCTAAAAAAAACAAAACCCAAAAATGGTAGCTGCCCATGAGGGGTCACCAATCTTCTCCCCCACCAATAGTTTAGTGATCCTTCCTCAGTGCACACCTTGACGTCTCTGAGGTTCTTCTGTTATTTTTACTTGTTATTTTTTACTTGCATTTTTAATTCTATTGAATCAGATGCCAAGATTTGCTCTGTGACTGAGACAATATAAAACAGATATACTGGAGGGAGAGAAAGGAGAGAGAGAGAGAGAGAGAGAGAGAGAGAGAGAGAGAGAGAGAGAGACGCAGAGAAGGAGGGAGGGAGGGGGGAGGGGGGGAGAGAGGGACAGATACCTGCGGTAACAATATAGCATTATCACACTGTAGCACAGCACATGACTGGACAATGGGGATATTTATTTATTTATTTATTTATTCATTCATTCATTCATTCATTCATTCATTCATTCATTCATTTATGCCACCCACTCCAGCACACAGACTCTGATCAGATTTAATTCATTGTTCAGTGAGTGACAAATGCTGAGTGCTTCCACATTCTGTTACTTAATTTCTCTCGTTATTGGTAAAGGTTAAATTTTGCATTGTTTTCCCAAAAGCTGCGCAACCAGCCTATACCAGTTGAACCATTCAAAGCTATTCTCCTCTCCAGCACAAGATCTCATCTAAAGCTCACGATTATAGCTCAGAAGCATCAAATGTAAGAGTTGAAGATCTTTTATCCTAAGGGTGGGAATCCATTACTTCAGCATGAGGCAAAGCATTGGGCTGGGTTATCTTTCAGATGCTGGGAATTCGTAAAATTTTCAGATGACATTCACCATAGTCTCTTATCTCTACCATGTAGCATGGGGTTGAGGTAAGATGAAGTCCAAAATATTTAGAGGAAACCAGGTTATTTTATTTGGTATCAAACATTAGGAGAAGTCATTAAGTGTGACATTATAGGCAGCACACTCCTATGCCAAATTTAAAGAGGCTTTTTAGCTTTTCCCACAAAGGCTGTTAATCCCATGTGCCATGCATGTCATTTCAATGGGGAGAGGAAAAGGGACTCCTTCCTCCTGCTAAAGCATTTTCACCAATCTTCCTTTGCTTCATAATGTGTCTCCAAGCAGGCATCCCACTGAAAGCAATTGTTATCAGGCAATTCAAGGCAATGCTTCAGAGGTTTAAACCAAGGAAGAGATGCTGTCCTACAGGCAACTCAGTGTCAAGCTGTAAAAACAAAATAATTATGAGTTAGTTTGAGAAACAGTGATTCGCTTAAAGAAGCTTGGCTGTGGTACCAGATCCTGAACCCAGATTTTCTCTCATCCAGATCTATAACAGAAAATTCCCATCTTAGAGTGGGAAATGCATGATTTAGAACTCATGACTAAACCTAGAAATAATTTGTGATTTACTAAGCCTTTGACAAGGGTCAAATACCGAACCCCCTTCCACTTGCTTGGTGACTTTGAGTCAGTGTTGACACCTGTCAATCATCTGAACTAGTCCCTGCAGTGTTTCTGGCAAGTCTGATCAGAAGTGGTTTCCTAGAGATGAGAGAAAAGGACTGGTTTAAGGTCAGTCAACTGGCTTTGCGCATAAGCAGAACTAGAACTCACAGTCTCCCAGTTTCTAGCCTGGTGCCTTAACCACTACACTGAATCAGCTCTTGCATTGGTTTATACCAGTATACCCAATCTGGTGGTTTTTTTTTTTTTTTAAAGAAATGTTTGGAGATCAGGGCTCAAACTGGCTACAGACTTTGGTCACTGGGAATTCTGGGAGCCATAGCCCTAAGATATATGGAAGGCCCCCAGCTGGAGAAAGTAACTTTACACTCTAGTTTTATACATTTTCTGTTTGGCAATCTTCTTTGTGATTGAAATCTTTCCCGTGGCACTTATAAGAGAGCACTAAATAAAAGAAAATAATATTCTCCACTATGAAGCATCCTACCTGTAGATTAAACCCTTGCTTCTTTCTATCTTTTTTTCCCCCTTCTTCTTTGCAGGTCCAGGTGGGGGTAAGCCTTGCTGTTCTCTCACCTTCCTGTCTTGGTTACAAAGGTGCGTGTCTTTTGCATACAAATTGCAGCTTCCCCGCTGAATTGGAAGAAATGCAGATTTCTGTTGTTTCCATAGAAACCGGCATTTGCCTGCTTTCTAACTTTCCTGCCTAATGACCCATCCAAGGGAAAAAGAGATAGGACAAGAAGATCAATTATTGATCTGCAAAGCACTCTCTTGGTTGTCTTCAGAAAGGAGCTCCTTAGGATTGAGCTACAATTGCTGAAGTCAATTCATTTTGACTTTCCACGCTTTTGAAAGCTTAATTCATCAATAGTGCACGAGGGAAGAGGGAAGGAATATAAAGAGATGCACAACTCTCTCTCAACTTTCCACATTTTGCATAAGGCTTTCAGATCACTCCGTAGGTTTGTCTTCTGGGAACAGTAGATCTGGAGAGGAAAAGCGGGGGGGGGGTGTCCTTATCAACTAGCAAATAAGACATAGAAAAACACAACCACACAGTTTGCTTTGGACTACTTATGTATCTAATCTAGGAGTTTCTGCTTTCTCAAAAACACTCCAGCATCTCAGACAACTTTAAATGGGAGACCCAGTCCTTGAACTTGGGATCTTTTGTATGTAAGCTTGTATTCTGTCCACTCGGTTGTGATATCTCCCTTGCAGAGCCCAAACCAGCATTTCTCAGGGGTGAAATCCAGCAGGTTCTGACAGGTTCTGGAGAACCGGCAGCGGAAATTTTGAGTAGTTCGGAGAACCGGCAAATACCACCTCTGGCTGGCCCCAGAGTGGGGTGGAAATGGAGATTTTGCAATATCCTTCCCCTGGAGTGGGGTGGGAATGGAGATTTTGCAGTATCCTTCCCCTGCCACATCCACCAAGCCACGCTCACAGAACCGGTAGTAAAAAAAATTGGATTTCACCACTGGCATTTCTGAAAGGGAAATCGTGATCAACAGCTTTTGAAATAGATTGCTAGCAGAAGATAGAGAATGTACTACTAGCTGTTGCATGTCTGCAATCTGTGTTAAAGCTCTTTTCCTTTTCTAGGCCAATGAATACATTTGGGATTTTGGGAGCAGACATGATATCTGTCACGGGGCTGGGAAAGTGGCTTTCCTAATTGTAAAAAGGGATTTGTTGATGTTTTGTGGATTCTTGTTCTCCATTATTAAACCAATAGGGCTAGTGATGATAATAGGTGATTCAAACAAAAAGGTATTGAAGTCAGCCTCTCAATCTGGTCTTCAAGTATGCTTGGACCAGAGGACTGCAGTGGAAATGTAGCTGTTCTTCTGCCTCAGGTTCCTATGCCTAAGCCTAAATTAGGGAAGGGACCCAGTGGCCGTGGCTCTTCCTTTACCCTGCTGCCAATCTGATCCCCAGAAGTAAAGGGTGAGAAAATAGTTGCAGCGAGGACTGCTTCCATGTGATTTCCCAAAAGTAGAGCTTATTAATGGGCACTTCTAGTGGTAAGAAGGGAAAGGTGACAATAAGAATTCTTATTGCTATTACCTTTCCATCACTTCCAGTGTTGGAGCACCCAAAACTTCTGGAGGAATGACTTGCCTCCAGAAGTTGTAGGTGCTAACCCTGGAGGCTTTTTAAGAAGAGATTGGACAACCATTTGTCTGAAATGGTATAGGGTTTCCTGCTTGAGCAGGGGGTTGGACTAGAAGACCTCCAAAGTCCCTTCCACCACTCTTATTCTGTTAAGACTTTGGGAAGGTTCCAAATTTGGTTTGTGTTTTGTGTTCTGCTATATATAAGCAAAAAATTTTCAGGACAAACCCATTAATGTTTCAGTTGACTGAGGCTGGTAAAATAGAGGAGACAGTAAACTAAGTTGTTGACTAAAGTTGGTAAGATAATTTTGTAGAACTCAGGGCTTGTCTCACAAGTGTCACCTGCTTGTTTCTCCATTAGTGTTTCTGACATTCTCACCTACATCCACATTGGATTTACAGAAAAATGTCGGATTTAAGAAGCATCCTTAATAACTGGATGCTTGAGGATTCACTCATTCTGAGTTTGGGTATGTCCAATGCTTTGCAGAGGAAGCCTGGATGTCTCTGATGTCCAGTGGCTCCCAAACACCCACATTGAATAGGGTTTTATTTTCACTTCTTCCCCCTTTTTTTATTCTCAAAACACCAGAATTCTGATACTGGGGAAGGGGGGGGGGCTTTCAGGAGACTCCTGAAGTTGGATCTTTTTTCTCCAACTTTAAGATGGAAAGTAGGAAAATCACCTTTATAATGAACCATAGAATCTCTATTGAAATAAGTCATTTGAAACAATCCGTCAAATTCAGATATGTATGTATGTATGTATGTATGTATGTATGTATGTATGTATGTAAAAACAATCTATATTTCTTTATAGAAATAATTCTGTCTTGGATAAGATGCTGGAAGAAGTAACATTCTCCTTATTCAATCTGATCTCTGTTTTCAATCACTTCCTGACAGAATCGGTTTCTCCATGCTTTCTTCTCCAATACTAATAATTTCACCAACAAGAATTGTATTGATTCACACATGCCTCACTATTAAGCTACGTTTAAACTAATTTAGCATCGATTCAAACAAGATGCAGATATCTCAGAATCCCCCCTCCTCCGATGGTTAATTGAATGGCCAGTCAATATAGATGAGGCAGGGACTCGGTTGCATCCTCAGGCCCTAAGGATCAGGTCAGTAAGAGGCACCCTTGCTGGTTGCCAGCATTCTGCCTTTTCCCTTTGACTCAAAAACTAAGGAAAAGCATCTCAAGGAGAAGTCATAAGCAAATGGAGCGTGTGACATTGCCCAACATTAATCATGAGACGTGTCTACCCTGTCATCAGCACAAATTCTAATTGCTTGCTTTGGCGGCACTTGAAAAGGCATCAGAAACTCTGGTTTTAAACCGACATTCTGGGAGATTCTTTGGATTCAGCTGTAAAAAGCTTCCAGTGTCCTTCAGAGGAAGACAAAGTCTGTTGGTGATACTTCCCAGGATGTGTCTCATTGCTAGTAGGAAGACATAAAAATATCAATTGTGTATTGTGCACTCCCAAGTGCTGAAGGAAAATGATTTCTAATTCCCATGGGGGCTTAAATCACAGAAGGTTTTCCACAAGGAGCACCAAAGCTCCCTCAGGTCTCTTCAAGATGGCTCTAAGAGTGGGAATTAGAAGTATCAATTCAGCATTAGCAGTTTAATAACCCTGTAAATTATCATGATTATTCCAGGGAGATTCAATAATTTCCCACTTCTGTCCCAATAAAAAAAGGACATTTCATGGCAACAAGGGGACATTAGGATCACAGGCACATGCCGAGGGGCTTCAGCGGGTGCTCAAAGTTTGATTGTGATTTCCTGTCAAGTGAACAGGGACCAGGGCACATTTAATATTTTTGCTGATAAAAATACTTTACATGAAGAAAAAGACTTCCTTCCTTCCAGTGGTGAAATTCAATTTTTTTATTACTGGTTCTGTGGGCGTGGCTTGTTGGGCATGGTGTAGCTTGGTGGGCGTGGTGTGGCTTGGTGGGCGTGGCTTAGTGGGCATGGCAGGGGAAGGATACTGCAAAATCTCCATTCCCACCCCATTCCGGGACCAGCCAGAGGTGGTATTTGCCAGTTCTCGAACTACTCATAGTTTCCGTTACCGGTTCTCCAGAACCTGTCAGAACCTGCTGGATTTTACCCCCTTCCTTCCTTCCTTCCTTCCTTCCTTCCTTCCTTCCTTCCTTCCTTCCTTCCTTCCTTCCTTCCTTCCTTCCTTCCTCCCTCCCTCCCTCCCTTCCCTTCCTTTCCCTTCCCTTTCTTCCCTTTCCTTCCTTCTCTTTCCTTTCCTTCTTTCCTCCATCCATTCACCCATCCACCCATCCCAAAGAACATTTAGTTGATTGAGTCAACCTGAAAAATAAAATCCCTAACTTTCTACAAGATGAATGCTGGAGGGAGGGCAAAGAAGAGAATTTACAAAAAAAAGAAGAAAAGAAAAAAAAAAGAATTTAAGAATGCAGTGAAATTATTTAGAGCGGGCAAAAAATTAATTTACAGAGTTATTAAACTGCAGAGCCGACTAATGCTTACCATTTGGCATTATTTCTCTCTTACTCAATCCTCCATGTTTTATTATATGTGCATGTTGAACTTCCAAGAAAAGGCTGGTATCCCAGGGATGCAGAACCAATCTGGGAATGGCATGCTCAACTCAAGTGGAAACACTGTGAATTTCAGCAGCTACAGTGCCAGAGGTTTCGTGGTTCCAGAAAAGAAGCAGGGGATTCATTTCATCCAGAGGCCTCAAAGTGGTCACTCCTGCCAGTAAAGAAAGAAAGAAAAGGGGGAGGGAAAGCATTATTAAAATAACAAGCTAGAAGAACATTCTGCCAAATGGCTTTTAAAACAACCCCCCCCATATATCAGATCCCACTTGGGAAGAAAGGAACGATAAAAGTGGGTGCCTCCTTTTGAAAATAGGTTGTTGCGCTTCAGGAACATAGTAACCGAATGCGTGGAGAAGGAATAAATAGGAAAACGAGTCAGATAAAATGATGGATGGGGTGGAATAACTAAAGAGATGGGACAATGGAAGAGAGTAAGAACCTAACAATAAATTGGCTACTTATTCCATTTATATCCCAATTTGGTGAAGCTCTAAGCTGGCTTCAAGAAGCTGCTGGTTTAATGGCGTGAGAGTAGCATTAGGTGTTTAGCCTCGTCTTTTCCAACCTGAAGCCTCCAGAGTTCCTGAGGCTGCTGTTTAACAATCTCCAGACTGCTAACCATGCAGGCTGGGGCTGATGGGAATTGTAATCCACTGCCCTCTAGAAACTTGATTTTTTGTAGTTAATTTTCTCATGTCGGAACCCAATCTTTCCTCTAAGAGCTTCTCCTAAAACCAAACCTGCAAGACAAGGAAGACATTTGGGTTCTCTCCTGGCTCCGTGTGTATGTACCTGGGTGCCAGCCATGTAAATTTACTGGAAAATCCAAACTTGGCAACCTCAGATGCAAATAATCGAGACAACATGCACCCAGATTTTCAAGCCTTCTGGAAAGAAGAGGTACAAATAGATCTTGGCTGCCATTTAATTTCTAAAACTCCGCAAACTGCATTTATTTCACTCAAACTAGGATATTGGGGAAGAAAGCTAAATGGGCTGATTCAAATTCTAGGATATATATTTGGAGAGCCAGTGTGGCCTAGTGCTTAAGGCTCCAAGCTAAAGAACAAACAAACCAGGAGATGTGAATTCTAGTCCCACTTTAACATGAAAGTCAATTGGGTGACTTTGGGCCAGTTACTCTCTGCCCTATTTACCTCACAGGGTTGTTGTGGGAAAAATAGGAGGAGGAGGAAGCATTAGGTATGTTCACGGCCTTGCGTTATAAAGCTGGGATAAAAATCTAATAAAAGGGAGAAAGAAAGGAAGAAAGAAAGAAAGGAAGGAAGGAAGGAAGGAAGGAAGGAAGGAAGGAAGGGAGGGAGGGAGGGAGGGAGGGAGGGAGGGGAGGGAGGGAGAGAGAGAAAGAAATTAAGAAAGAAAGAAAAGAAAGAGGAAGGAAGGAAGGAAAGAAAGAAAGAAAGAAAGAAAGAAAGAAAGAGGGAGGGGGAGGGAAGGAGAGAGAGAGAGAAAGAAAGAAAGAAAGAGAGGGAGGGAGGGAGGGAGGGAGGGGAAGGGAGGGAGGGAGAGAGAGAGAGAGAGAGAAAGAAAGACATTGAAAACAAACACTTACCACAGCATTCATAAGCTTTCCCCAGATCTGAGATTTTACATCCACACGTTGTGTGGATTCCTGATAACACTGTAGCCTAGAATGAACTCTATATTTCCCAATGGTCACCTAAGAGCAGAGATTCCAGCAAAAGAGAAAGAAAAACTTAGCAGGAATTGCTTCCCTACTGCCAGGAGCACCCGGCCTATGTGCCTATCTTTAAACTGGGGGTCCTTTCAACCCGCCCCTCACAAACAGTAGCTCCCCTCAGAAATTGCAGATGGGGAAAAAAAATGAGAGTGGGTGAATCATGGGCCTGCTGGCTCCTCAGAAACGCCCAGTAAAGTTGTTGCAAGAGGGATAGGAGACGGAGGGAGAGAGAAAGAGAGAGAGAGAGATGGCTTGCTTGCAATTGGAGCTCCATACTGTCTGGACTGTTTATGAACCTGTTATTTCCTGAATGAAGAACTAGGGTAGTAAAAAATTTTATGGCCAGTTTGCCATACGACCGAGGTGCCGGGATGGGAGGGAGGGAAGCAGGTGGCAATTTTTCGACTGGGCTTCGGAGAAAGGTGCAAAAGGGGGATTGGGGAGAAACTATTCCCCAGCTGGTTTCATTGTCTGTTTTCTACACCTCCTGGCTTTGCTGGACGAATCAGCACCTGTCTTCAAAGTGGAGCAGTCACCTCTCTCTCTTTTTATAAGGCATTGATTTTCCTATCAATCTTCTTTAAGGCCCCCTACATTCCCGGGGCTCGCAGCTCTCCAAATTGTCATTCACTTTCAACCCCTGCGCAGAGAAATGGATATGTGTCGCGGTTGCCTAGACAACCGTAACCATGGAACCCATTACCGGGAGCTTCAGATTCACGTCTTTTCCCCTTGCGTTCAGCTCCAGCCTTTCTCCCCATCTGCCCTCCTACTCGTGCCCCATTTGTCTGAGTCCCACCCGCTCTGGGAAGTGATTTGATACCGCCAATATTAACATTCACGCTTTAACTCCTTCATGGATGCATAAACTTGACTGATGTCCTATCCTGTTCCCTGTTCACAATGCCAGTTAGGGATGCTTCAAACATTGCTCATGAGGCCAACTTGACTCTGGTATGGCTATCAGAAGCACATATACTCTACTACAGTATGAAAAGTGTTCCCAGTATAAGACCAATATTAGTTCGACATCATCAAGCTCCTGCCAAGGGTCACATCCTCAGAAAGCCCTGGGTTACCAGCAAGGATGAAATCCAGCAGGTTCTGACAGGTTCTGGAGAACCGGTAGCAGAAATTTTGAGCAGTTCGGAGAACCGGCAAATACCACCTCTGGATGGCCCCAGAGTAGGGTGGGAATGGAGATTTTGCAATATCCTTCCCCCAGGAGTGGGGAGGGAATTTTGCAGTATCCTTCCCCTGCCATGCCCACCAAGCCACACCCACCAAGCCACGCCCACAGAACCTAGTAAAAAAATGTGGATTTCACCACTGGTTTACCAGATGTACCTTTCTGGCTCTCCCCTGTTGCCTATCCTCCTACAGATTTAGGAAGCAGTGGTTTTATACAGACTCAGCCTTTAGTTATACAGGTAGTCCTCGACTTACAACAGTTCGTTTAGTGACCAAAGTTGCAACCACACTGAAAAAAGTGACTTCTGACCATTTTCACACTTATGAACGTTGCAGCATGTGATTTACATTCGGATGCTTGACAGCTGACTCACATTTATGTCGGTTGCAGTGTCCCAGAGTCATGTGATCCTCGTTTACGACCTTCTGACAAGCAAAGTCAATGGGGGAAAAGAGATTCACTTAACGACCCGTGTTACTAATTTAACAACTGCAGTGATTCGCTAACCAATGTGGCAAAAAAAAAGGTCATAAAATGGGGCAAAAGTCACTTAATAAATTTCTCACTTAATAACATAAATTTTGGGCTCAATTGTGGTCGTAGGTTGAGGACTACCTGTACACTGATTGGTAATACCTGCTCAGCCTGTTGCTCCTATCCACAAACTTTAGTCAAAAGTGCTCAAGGCTGAATTGCAACTTTTGCCCCCACCCCCCCAAAAAAACGTACAGGCAGTTCTTGACTTACAACGGTTCATTTAATGACTGTTCAAAGGTACAACAGCACTGAAAAAAGTGATTTTGACCATTTTTCACAATTATAACCGTTGCAGCATCCCCATGGTCATGTGATTCAGATTCAAATGCTTGACAATTGATTCGTATTTATGATAGTTGCAGTGTCCCAGAGTCATATGATCCCCTTTTTTGACTTTCTGATAAGCAAAGTCAACCGGGAAGCCAGATTCATTTAACAACCGTGTTACTAATTGAACAACTGCAGTGATTCACTTTACAAGTGTGGCAAGAAAAGTCATAAAATGAGGCAAAACTCCTTTAATAGGTTTCTCACTTAGCTGCATAAATTTTGGGCTCAATTGTGGTCGTAAGTCGCGGACTGCCTGTATTCTCTAGGGTCATTTACAAAATCACTTCCTTTTCTACTTTCTCTCTTATTTTCTGCCCAGAATGCATTTCAGAGCATGTTTATTATAACACTTGCTTAGAAGTAGAAACAAAAATCAGTTGAGGAATATTATTGATGCTCGAACATAACTGGTTTTGAATCAACCACCCCAATGATTCGGTTTTACTAAGTATGTTTATCTTCCTTCAACAGGGGAAGGAAGTTCCTTCCATTTTACTTTCATAATGATTCTGCAAGATGGACAAAACTTACCTAGCTTCATATAACCTCATCACGGTATCTACGTATGACATCTCATTGGCTCTCAAAATGCACGATTTAGTCAAAGTTGGTCAGATGTATCTCTGAAAATGACAGTTCTTGCTCCCAGAGGCTTAACTGTTGTGTTTCTCATGGTGCTATTTTACTGTGATGGAGAAAATATTTGTGTAGGAATACTGAAAGAGAGCGCCTGAATTAAAATAAAAAAGAATAGAATTCTATACATTCTGGAGCAAACGTGTTATTTAGCTATGGATGAGATCTAAACTCAGTGTTCCTAGGCACTTCACTTCAATTTCCTCTGACATCATCCAAAAATGAATTATTGTGAGGTCATAGAACATGCACAAACATATTGACTGAAATTTAACTAAAGATAGGAAACATCCTCAGATCAGTAGAACTACAGTTGGGCTTGGTTCACGCAGGATGTTTAACCATGCGGGTGAAAAAGTTTGCAGCTGCATTCAGACAGCTTCCTCGGCTGGGTTTGGTTTTGCTATGGCTTCACAAATCAAGGAAATGGGTTAATTCAGTAAAGCAAGAAATGCATGTTGTGCAAATATAACCATAGACAACCCAAAGATTGGTCCAACCCAGCCAAAACTTCGGCAAGATTTAAGAAAGGAAGGGATTGTAGAAAAGCAGTCAGGGAGACAGAGTACTAGAGAAGAAGATGGTGGAAACCAGCAGAGGGGAGGAGAAGAATGCATTCCTGAGGAGGCCAATTTTATGCAGCAGGGAGGAGCCACCTGTGGATGGTTGCAATATGTGGGATGCAACCCCCAGAGTACCCCAAAGGAACACCAAAGATTTAATTTTTTCTCAAGGAATGGAATGGGAGTTTAAGGGGCATGCTTCTTGGAACCACCTCAAAACGCTGATCCCCACCACAAAATAGTGAGCTTTCGGGGTGGGTGGGTTAAGAAGCAAAACCAGAGCTCTTCTCACTCCTTTAATCTTCCTAGCTTCCCCTAAAAGGCTTACATCCAGGGGTGAAATTCAGCAGGTTCTGACAGGTTCTGGAGAACTGGTAGCAGAAATTTTTAGTAGTTTGGAGAACCGGCAAATGCCACTTCTGGCTGGCCCCACAGTGGGGTTGGAATGGAGATTTTGCAATATACTTCCCCCAGGAGTGGGGAGGGAATGGGGATTTTGCAGTATCCTTCCCCTGCCAAGCCACACCACGCCCACCAAGCCACACCATGCCCACCAAGCCAGGCCCACAGAACCGGTATTAAAAAAAATTTGAATTCCACCACTGCTAACATCCATGACGCTGCCCTTCTGGGTGGGGTCAATCTTTCTAGGGGCCCTCAGAGGCCAATGAGAAGCACAGGCCTGGTTCCAAAATCGAGACACTCAAAGAAAATCCAAACTGAACATACCTCACAAAGAAGAAGAACCCAGGAGAAACCCAAATGGGTAGTTTCAACTATACTTACATCAGAGGAAATCCCATGAATTTTGTTGCTCTTCCTCACAAAGCAACTGTTTCTGGCTGCCAATATCAGGGGAACCAATGGAAATTACAGCTCCCGGGACCAAACAGTGCACTGACTGACAAATGCATCTTGATAAACAACACCCCAAAAATGTCATCAGTGATGATCGACGGCTGCTTCCTATGGAGATGCCTCCCTTTAATAGAGCTCTTCTCTTTCTTTCCTGCATTTATGCTGCCCTTGTCACATCAATCAGGAGCTGTCATTGGTTTGATAATAGCCCCCTTGACGGTCCTCATTAATTAATAACCCAGAATATATGCCTGGAAAGGGGACTGCATGAACTATGCTACCATGACTTTCTGTTAATGGTCCCTTTAAACTGTCTCTACTGAGCCTCCAGTGACTAGGCCATGAGAGATGGGAGTTGACTGGTGCTTTATAAATAAAAATCAGTCTTAATTATGATGACCTTTTCCATGTTCTGTAATAGAGCTGTCTTGGCTGCTGATAATAGCATGCACTTACAATTTCATGGAAGGAAGGGAGAATTTCCGTAGGCCCTGGAACCATATTTCCCCCCCACCAAAGATATTCTTGGCCCGTTTTTTTCCTCCAAGACAGTGTTGTGGCCAAACAGAGTAGTGAGACTGAAATTATAGGTTCTAGACACCCACTGCAAATGTTTCTGTTGGTTAGGAAAAGCAAAAGAAAAAGGAACAAAATGGAAAGATTATTAGATAGACCACGTTCACTGTCTGCATATATTGTCCCGCATCAGTACAATGGTGCTGTTGGAAGAAATGTCCATCTGGCTTCAGTTCCAAGTGGGGAGAAAGACACTGGAAACATGGAGACTGCTTGGAAGGATGGTTTAATGGTGAACAGGACCACAGGGTTTGAAGTCCTGGGTAGCTGACCACATGGAGTGGAGAGTGAGATATATTTATACCCTCTCTTGGGCTTTGAACTTGCTTTATGTTCCTGTGAAAGAAATGTATTCTGATTGGTTGTCAGGCTCCCATGGGCCCATGCAGGAGCAACTTTGTAGGTTGTCTTGAGTCCCAGGTTTGGTTGAATCTTGCTGGTTGATGTAATCTTCCCAGGTGCCATGTGGTGAGATGGGTAGAGGGCTAATCATATTATGTCCTGAGGGTGAAGGTCTTTTGTGTTGTAGATAAGCTGGCCCAGCCTTTTGTCCTGTAGATAGGATGGCCCAGTCTTTCTAGGACTATTAACAAAGGTGGGGGCTGCTCGCCAAGAGCATGTTTCTCCTTTTCTCATCCAGGGAGGTATAATATTCTGCCTTTTTAATATTTCCTAGAATATTTCATTCTTCTAGGAGAGGGGTGGATGCTAACTTCCTACAGCGCATAGTTGCCTTTCAACACACAGTTCTTTTCTATGGAGGCAACACTCAGGACTGCCATATGGGTGTGTAAAATGTGAAGTATTGCTTCTAAAATAATGTTTCATTAAATAAGGAATTAGAAAGTTAACAGACTTTTTGAAAAAAAATCATTGAAATAGGGTTGTTCTTACAGTTAATAATGTGGTTCAGAAAAGTTTAGAAAGAAAAGGCAGGATGCTTTCTGAGCAATAGTTTAACTGACACATTTCAAAATAGAACCAATTTATGCGAAGAACAATGGAAAGTTAGGGTTCATGAAGTGGTGCACAATCACACCATGTCACTTGGTAGGGAATTGGTCTACCCCAATACGGGAGGAAGCATACTGCTTCCCTTTCACCTTTCAGCTCCAGTCCAGGAGCCCTCAAGCAGTCGCATTCATGACAAACCATTTTATGCCAAATTTATATTTCACTGATAAAGAAATAAAGGGAGACTAGTATAATCTGTTTCAAGCTATTTAGCTCTCATCAGCTAGCCATACCGTTACTCGGATTCAAACTTGGGCTGCCTGCATATCAGGCAGTTGTATTAACCTCTGAGCCACAAGTTCTCCTCCCTTTATCAGCTTGAGCCAGGGGTGAGATTAAGTGTTTTTCTGTCGAAGCACCTGGTCTACCCCAATATGGGAGGAGTAGGAGGTATATATATATGCATTTTTTTTTGAAGTCTTCTCCTAGCATTCTTAACTAATTCAAAAAAAAATTATTAATTAAAATCTGCAGCAGTGTTCCAGAGCCTAAGAACAGTCTAGATATACAAAATTCACCTCACAGAATTCTCAGCAATGGAATCCTGGGAGTTGAAGTCCACACATCTGCAGGGTTCCCAGAGTAGGGAAGGCCAGTTTAAAGCAGGATAGGGCTTTTCTGAAACTAGTCCTCAATTATTGAGTTCCTGCATGAAGAGAGCTCCCTGAGGCTCCATCATGTTTTATATTAGCGGGGAAGATTATGTCTTTTTATCAAGTTTTTCATGCCATTTTGATTTTACTGTGAAAAATGCTTCCCGTTTTCTTTTTTTTTTAAAGTCTTATAGCTATGATTACTTTGCTTTGATAGTTCCATTGCTATTTTTATTGGGATTTTGCATGTTGCCCTGAGTGCTCTGTGGATATATAAATTATATCAAATAAATAAATAAACTAGCCAGCGTTCTTCTGATCTAGCTGAAAAGGTTTGCTGCTAAATGTTGCACATAAGTGATTGGGACTGACTGAATAGTGCACTATATTCCATGTTCTAATACATGTTCTTAGGAACCCTGGGAGATTGAAGGAAAAAAATATTGAATGTCATCATTTTTTATCACTAGAGTTTTGCCTCTTGTTGCATGTCTTAGTTAACAGGCCTGAAACAAAAATGGAAAAAAACCCGTTATGATACACTTTTATTCCAGGGTCAATAACTTTGGGTAATTAGAAAGCAGAAGGAAAGTCCACACGTATTTAAAGATTCCAGAATACACAGTGAGGAGGGCCTTGTGTGGATGGCAATTTATGAGATTTTGGGCAGACTTGGGTGTAAGTGTGTGTTTGTGTGTGTGTGTGTGTGTTTGTATGTTGGGAATTTTGGGAGAAGGAATATTGCACTTTATAAAGTTCACTTTATAATTTTGTTCCCAACTGAAAATCAATAAGTTATTGTGCCTCCCCGATTGGATAGTTTGGTAATACAATCTCCCAGGATAATAGGGACTATAAAAAGGCTTTGGGATTCAATATGCTGTAAGGTATGTGGACTTCTCATCCCCATTTTCACTAGTGACCATGAAGCTTTAATCTGTTCCATGTAATTGTATAATTACAAGAGGCTGAAGAATAATGAGAATCAGAGCCCTTTACTGGAAGAGCTTTGGGGAGGTAATTGAAACCTTGATATCTACATGCAGGGAAAGGACAATGGCGAGTTGCCTGTAATACATTCTTCCTTTGTATACATTTGCTGTGCTTTCTTTCAAAAGGCTTTCTCTTTTTTGCTAGAAGACATTTTGTTTCTCATCCAAGAAGCTTCTTCAATTCAACCATGATACGGATAACTGAGAATCTCCACAGACAATTAGCTATGCACTTTGGGATGAACACCTTTCGAATGGTCCAGGAGTATGAAAGGATTTCCAGGAAAAAACCATGCAGACTACAGGATTCAGGTGACCCTGAGGGCATAGATAAACCTCCAAGTCGGCTCCATGACTCTCAGAAAGAGGACTACATGAGTGCTGTTAGGTCCAGACATGAATAGAGACAGGACGATCGTAGTGAAGTAAAACAACTGTTTATTCCAGGCAACAGGGAACAACAACAGAATAATTATGAACTGAGAACTGCCCGAGGCTGCAGCTCCTTTTACCTGGAGCTGTCCAGCCT